TTCGGGTCGAAAGCGACCTGGTCTTTGGATTTGCCTTTGCCCTGCTCCTTACACATATGTCTGCACCACGAGTGCCAGGCTGCGCTGAAGTGGTATCCTCCCTCTGCCTGCAGCCTCTTCAGGTGTGCGACTGCTGTCTCGCGCGGGCGGCGCTGCCAGCCGACGCGGAAGATTGCCCGCGGGCGTCTGGGGTCAGGGTGGCGGCGATCATCCCTGTGGTAAGAGCTGCGTGCTTCTGGCTGGCGCCAGGGGGCGCTCCCTGTGCCCCTGCAACTGTCGTGGTCCTGGTCCCAGTAGCGCTCCCTGGTTCTGTCCCAGTCGTTGGCGTCGTGCTTGCGCCACGGTGCCCCCGCTGCGCCCTTGTTGCGGTCGCGGTCGCGGTCGCGGTCGCGCCCCCCAGCACGGGTCCGGTCGCCAGTCTGTCTTCCGGGCCTTTGGACCGGGTCCGCGCGTGCAGCGCCCGGTTGTCGGCAGCGGCCGCCAGAAGCACGATCGGTTCCGCGGGTGCGCCGGCGGCTTTCTGGTAGGTACTGCTCGAGTCGTGCTCAGGACTGCTGCGTCGTCCGTCACGAGGGCTCATCTTGGCTAGGCGCTCCTCGACTGTGTCGGAGTCTGAGGATGAGGAGACCGCATGGACCGTGCTAAGGGCCTCTGCGAGGCTCAGCTTCTTCTCTTGTTCCCAGTCGTCGTTGGCCCAGTCGGGGCCCTCCTCCTTAGGGGGCACAAGGGGTGCAGGCTCGTAGGTGGGATCCTGTGCGTCTGCACGCGGCGCGCAAGGTACGAGCTTGGAGTCGGCCTGCGCCCCTTCTGGGGGCGTCACTTTGTCACCCCCGATGTCGGCGCCGAGCCTGGGACTGGCGCGGGCCGCAGGCGCCTGCGCCCCGCGCACCTCGCTGCGGGTTCTGCCCAGGACGGCTGCTGCCCGGAGCGTTGCGTCTCCGCGGAGGACGTTCACGCGTTGCGTCCTGTTACCGGTGCCCCATACTTCCAGCCACTCGCTGCCGATCTGGACGAACTGGGCCCGCCCGTCCTGTTCGCGGGCCAAGACGTTGAGGACGGGTCCGAATACCGCTCCGCCCAGGGGCTGCGTCGACAGGGGCTCGGCGCTGTCCGCCGTGCTGAACCACCTTGCGCGGGGGAGGGCGTCGCTCCTGATGACCACGTAGTCGCCGCCCTGGTCGCACGGGCTGTCCGTCGCCAGCGGGCAAAAGGAGCCCGTGATGGGCGTGTCCGGGGCTCGCCCTTGCTGCCGCTCGCGGCTGCTGGGTTCCGTGCACTTCCGGGGGTTCAGGTGCCGCGCCGACGGCCGGTGGCGCCCCGACGGACTTGGTAGCTGTAGGTCTTGTGGCGGGCGGGGCCAGGGCCGGCTCGTCGCCACGCGGAGTGGGCGGGAGTGAGTCGCCACCGCTGGTGGGCGGGCAGGGTGTCAGGCGCCTTTCCATGGCGGGTCTTGGGCAATCAGCTTGGTTGGAGGTGTGGTCGGGACGCACGCCCGCTCGGGGGGCGGTGTGCTGCTGGGGCTCGCTGCTGGACGTGTGCCCGGTGGGTGGCTGGGCGGAAGCCGCGGGGCTGGGGTCTGCGTGCCTGGCCCCTCGGCTGCGCGCCGCCCCCTCGTCACCTTCGTCCCTGATATGCGCCGCCACTTTTGCGTGCGTCTCCCTGTCCGCCGGCTGCAGTTCCCAGGCAAGGTGTTGCTGCCTGTCCTTGGGAGGTGGCGGGAGTGAGTTGTGGAGGCGCTCGTGGTAGATGCGCTCCTCCTCGTCCCAGGCGGCAGCACGTCGCAGCACTTCCTCCTGGTTGGGGCGTGCTGCGTCTTCTGACGACGAGGCGGGGATGCCCAGTAGTGCGGCGAGACGTCTGGTTCCTACGCTAGGTATACGTCAGGGCCGTACCTGTCGAGCACCTTCACTGCTGACGGGGCCATGTCCCATTGGTGGATCAGGCATTCCTTGCAGTACCAGCCCGCGTGCCAGCGATTTGCCAGGAACATATCCTTCATTAGTTGTATGGGTGGGAGCCCGTGGACCAGGTTAAAGCTGGCGCGGAGTCCTTCTGGGTCAGCGGGATGCCGACATTCTTCTTGTGGAAGTGGGAGATCAGGCGATCGTCGTTCGCGCTGCTAGCTGGGAGGGTGGTTCCAACATGAAGAGGGTTCGGGTCGCCTTCCAACGGGACCAGCAGCTCGTCCAGGGGTGTTAGGGCCGTGGGTGCTGACGTCGGACACAGTCCCGGCAGGGCGCGCGTTGTGCGCACATGCATGTCGTCGGGGCAGTCGTTGATCCAGTCCATGAGGTCCACGTCGTCTGGAATGGGCCGTCGCTCTGCCATGGCCTTCGTGGCCCAGCAGCAGATGCAAAGCCAAGTGAGGTCCCTCCCTTGGTAGTACTCCGTTCGCCTGTTGACCGTAATGGTTTGGCGGATCCGCTTGCTGACTTAGGCGCCTTTGTCGTGCTTGAACGGGCCGCGTAGGCACCCTTGGCAGTAGAAATGGGCCTTGTTCTGCTCCTTCGTCCACCTGGTGTCTCGGTCGTCTATCCATGGGGGCCTTAGCGTCACTCCAGGGCGTGGCCCAGGCGGGGCGGGCGCGTCCAGGTGCAGGCGCGTGCATGAATATCCTCCACCCACGCCGCTTGCCTGCTTAGTCGGGTCGTCGGTGAGGCCGATGCCGGATCCAAGCACGTCAATGTAGAGCGCGCATACGGCGCACTCCTGGAACGCAAGGGCCGACAGGTCGGCGGTAGACACGGTGCCTTCGATGACCGCGAGGGTGGCCTGGAGTGGGAATTTCTTAGCCACGAGGTCCTTCCAGGTCGCGGGGCAGTTCGCACTCTTGGCCCGAGTGTGGTGGTGGGCGACCATGACTAAGCGGGACACCGCGGTGATCAGGAGCTCCAGCGCCGAGTGCAGCTGCTTGAAGTGCTTCCACTGTAGTCCGAACAGTGCGCCTAGCTTGTCACGAGCAGTCTTGTCGCGCGGGCGGCGCGGCTCGCACAAGCCAAGGATGGCCTCGATCACGTCTCCAATGCCCTCGGCGCCCCCATACGGACACAGGCAGGTGCGTGGTTCGCGTTGTATGAGCAGGGACAAGGCGAGGAGGATCCCGGCCCGGATGGCACCCAGAGTCGCGCCGGTGCTGTCCAGGAGGCTGTCAAGAACTGCGGCCGGGCGCCCCTTCGGGCCCATGTCACAGAAGACTTGAAACACTGACGGTGTGGGTGGCTCCTTGTGCTTTTGGCACTTGCAGGTGGATGGCTGCCAGCATTTGGGTCTGCGCCTGGGGACGTCGGTGGGGATATAGGTTTCCTTGACGTGCCACGCTGCCGGCATATTCGGTCGGTCCCTTCGTGGCGGGATCAGGGCGGGGTCGAGTGCGCGTGCGTTGTCGTTGTCCGTGGCTCCGAGTCCTATAGCCCACATGATGGTCGCGAAGACCGCTGCGCAAACCAGGTTGCCGGCGTCCAGTCCTACAAGTGCCGAGCAGAAAAAGAGGCACCCGTTCATGCTCCATCCCTTCCTGTCCTGCAGGCTGGGGTCTGCAGGCTGATCCGCAACGCCGTACTGGTGCGGATGTAGCCCGAGGCACGATAGTAGGCAGGGTCCGAATGCTTGGCAGCCTAGTAGTCTCGCCGCTGCAGCGTTGACGTCGTCCTCCAGGTCCTTCCAGTCGCGGTCGGCAGGGAGCGGTAAGTCGGCGCGCGCCGAGAAGCCAGCCTGTTGATCCTGACGGGCTTTCATCACTTCCTTCTCCTTCCGTCTGCCTTCGGCTTCCGCCACCAGCCTGGCCTTCTCTTTTGGGTTGGCAGTCTCGGGGATGTCGCCCTCGAAAACCCTTGAATCAGCTTTGGACTGGCGCAGGGATCCGTCTCGGTCGATGTGGACTTCGAAGGCGAGGTCTGCCTTCTGGGCCCAGGTGCTCAGGTGATGGAGTGCAGCGTCTGTGGCCGCGCGGAACAACATTGCGTCCGCGGTCATGATAAGGTTGCATTGTGGGCGCGTCAGCCCCACGTTGACGCGGTGCCGGTCGTCCACGTGGACACAATTTAGCATGGAGTTGGCCCGGGTGGTCATTAGGATGACGACGGAGGCCTCTTGTCCCTGGGCGGCGTCGATGGCGGCGACACGGATCGCCTCGCTTTCCAAGAGGTCTGGGAACAGGTCTGCGATACCTCTGAAGTGTTCGCTCAGGAAGTTTGCCGCCGTGGCGCGATTGATCCATGTCCCTCCCACGGGCCCCTTGTTGGCCTGAGAGGAGTTGGAGCTGCCCCGCCCCTGTTGGCGCGGGAAGCCAGGGCCGCCCGCGTTCGCCTCGGATCCTTCCCCCTGCGCCGCCCGCGAGCAACGTCTGATGTCGTGGACCGTGCAGGGGTTGCCTGCAAGTACGGGGGTCAGCTGGAGCTTGTACGCCGACAGTACGAGGATGGTGCTGTTGGTCCTTCTTACCCATAGTACGAGGCCCTTCACCAGGGCAACCACTCCGCGCGCTTCGTGAATGCTGGCGCAGCCGCCCTGGAACTTGGATTGGACCTCCTGCGAGGGGACGTGAGCAAATATGAAGCGATGCCGGTCGTAGACGGTGTCGCCGCTTCCCTTCGGGCCCATACAAGCTGCCTTGCTCCAGAATCCGCCTGCGGTGTCGATCAGGGAGTCGTCAGGCTCGTAGTTGCCGCCCTCGTTCTTTGCTGCTTCGTATTCTTGGTCGGTAAACGGTCGTGCGAATGGCCACTCCAGTCCTTCGGCGCATGGTCGCTGCAGCATGGGGCCCAGGATGGCGGAGACCAACTGGCCCCCGTAGAACGTGAGCGAGGGCCACGCGAGCAGGGACGGATGGATCCGATTGCACTCCTCCAGAGTGACGTTGCACTCGGGGATGTCTTCTATGGCTGCCACGTACTTGGCGAGAATGGACACTCCTACCCCCCAGCGTAGTGCCTGCTGGGATTTGACCGTCGGGCACAGCTGCCGCTCGTCGCCGAAGAGGACCGTCCTGGCCCGCATCTGACAGCGTGGCTCAGGGACATGATGGCCATGGGGTCGGACGTCTGTCCTGCCTCGTCGAGGAGACATATGAGGAACTTCTTGTCCCCGAGGTCGGCCCCCGCCTCGTGCGTGGCCAAGATAAGTCTTCCGTCGCGACTTCCGCTCGGAACTTGCGGAACCAGCTCGCGTGCCCCGCGGTGACCTCGTCCTCCGATACGTTGTACATATTGGCATACTTGGCGGCGGGGGCAATCGCTTTGGCTACGCTGCCCTTTGCCTTGTCCTCGTGTGCGAGGCGCACGGCCATGCGCGGGAACAGGTCTTTGTTGGCTGTGTTCAGGTTCTTTCCGATTTGCTCTGCCAGGTTGTCCGTGGACCCGTCGGTGCCGCCAAAACACCCTACGCCCCACCCTGGGGGGAGGCACGACATGTAGGCGTCCGCCACGCAGGCCGCGACCTTGGTCTCCCTGGTCCCGGGAGGCCCGCGGCACAGGGTAAGGAGAGAGTTCTGGGTCGCAAGCACGCAGCGTCGTTGGGCGTCGTTGGCGCGGCGCAGGTTACAGATGTGCTCCAGGCGTCCCTCCTTAGGAGCCGGCAACAGTCGTTGGAAGACGCTGCCCGGGGAATCCTCCCCCTGCTGAGCCGTCAGCGCGGGCGTGCCCGCACGCGGGTTGGCGCTGCGTTGGTCGGGGTCGTCGATGGTGCGCTCCAGGGTCACCGAGGCCTGCGCCAGCAGGAGATCTGCCGCTTCGCCCTGAGCCGGCACGGCCAGGGCTCTGGCCCAGCTGTCGCAGTCCTCGCGCCGAAAAACGAGCGCCCAAACGATGGGCGGGAGGGCAGTGCCCCAGAGGGCCGCCCTATCGCACCCGACTGAAAAGAATTCCCGCATCGCCGCGTTCACCCTGTTGAATTGGGTCTTCCTCGTGGTGCGATCGACCCTGTAGTATTGTTGGCCCGGGCTTGGCCTTGGAACTGTGTCGTCGTTGTCGCGAAAGGGACCGTTCCTCTTGGCGTCGTAGTGGACCAGCGCGATTCCCGCGGGGCAGCGCCGGTCTGCGCCCGAGACCCTGGCGCCGGGGGCAGGAGGCCAGACGTGGGTCATCTCTGCCAAGAAATCCACCGTTGGCGAAGACTTGGGAATTAGGAAGGGGTTCGGGGCGCCTGCCGTCATGTCGCGCTCCGTCCACTCCATGGCCCACTTCGTGTCCCAAACCAGCGGGTAGTACTCGTTTTGGCCCTGTTGTTGCCCTTTGAGCCGCTCTTGCAGGTGGTACCTACTCTGGATATCCCGGCACTGCTCGCTTGGCTGGGAACAGGTGAGGATACGCACGTCTAGGGCGCAGGTAGTCTTGCTAGCGATGACCTGCCGGGACGCGGTGGAGCCGTCGTCGGATGGCCCCGCGTCCGCGTAGAACTCTGCAAAGAAGACCCTCCTTAGCTCCTGGCGGTGCAGTTGCAGCCGTCGAGTCCAGTCGGTCGGTAGCGGGACTGCCCCTGGAACTGGTCCTAGGCAGGGGCGCGCTGCCGAGCCGTTTGGGACCATGTACCAGGGGGCGCTGTAGAGGTCCTCGGCGTTCCTGGCGAGCTGTATGCGACGCCCTTCGATGGCGGGTGCCCCCGGAGACGTGGGGCTGGCATTCCGGCCGCGCGGGGCGCTGCGGGGTTGCCAGCGCGTCCCACGCGGTCGGCAGGGCCGCCAGAGGCGGGTGTCCAGGGGGGGGGGGCCCAGGGATGACGGGCTGGGTTGAAGGTGGATGCCCAGGAGGGGGGGGGGGGGGGCGGTGCGTGGGCGGACTGTCCCGAGGCAGAGCTGGACGCACCCCTCATAGCCAGGGAGCCGGCCAGTGCCTGCCCAGCGCTGTGGAGTAGCTGCTCCTTTGTTTGTTGCTGAGGGCCGGTGGTCTTGGTCCAGGGGTGCTGTACTTTGTCGTTGCTGATCACCAGTCCAAGCGGGGGAGAGTGCCCTGGTCCGTCGTAGTACGTTGGAAATCTAATCGGCATCGCGTCCCAGTCCGCCTCGTAGACAGAGGGGTCGATGGGGGACTGTTTCCCGTCAAGCTCCCAGTCCCAGCACCACCCTGGGCATTGCGCCCTCGGGATCTCCGGTGCATCTATGCCCCGCGTCATGGCCCACAGGTCCCCTCCCTTTGTGAAACTTTGGGGGTCAGGTAGCCCGTGGGGTGGGTAGCCGTCCATGTGCTTGGCGATCTGGGTCTGCTTGCGCTGTTTCATGTGCTCGGTTGACGTGAAGTGCTCTGGTTCGTTGACTGCTTTGCCGCACTCGCCGCATAGCCAGCAACAGTGCCCACCGCCGCCGTCGCCCATGCAGGTCCACCTGACACCGGGGACCTCGCGACACCTGAAGATGATGCGCCCGTCCTTGTCCTTGGGCGGGAGCGGGCAGCAGGGGGCAGCATGCGGCCATCTGGTCGGGATTTTGGACTTGTTCACCAAGGGGTGCAGGGGGGCAAAGGAAGCCCAACTCCCAGGTTGCTGCCGATACAGAAGGCGGCGCCCTGAGCCTTAGCGGCTGCGGCGGTGGGAGGGCGAGGGGAGGGGAGGGGCGAGACGAGGCACAACCTCTGGTCCTGCTACCCCTGAGAGCACGCGGCTAGAGAAGGCAAGGCACTACCTCTGTTTCTGCTACCCCTGCTGGCAAGGGTCTCGAGTGCCTCGACGGCTGCGGGGAGGTCGGATGCGGGGAACCCCGCAAGGTCGGGGTCGGGGAAGGCGCACGGCACGTCCTGAGTGGGGTTGGCGTGCCACACGATCCACGCGGAAACGGCGGCGCCCCCCTCCTGCCTGAGATGGTCGGCCCAAAACACCCCAAGTGTTGCAAGAGCGTCCGCGGCCTTGTTTGGCCCCATGCGGCCGCGTAGAGCGCGCGGCCGAGGAGCCGACCCCTTGGCGGGTCAGGTTGGGCCGTGCGTGTCGCGATGATGCTGGCGGCCTTGGGTAGGGTGAGAGACTTGGCCCCCCTTCGCGGCCGGGCAGGTGGCGCAGGGTTGCTGTTGGCCCACCTGACAAGCGTGTTCCACCTGGTCAGTGCCCTCCGTTTGGCCGGTGAAGGTCCCCAGACGTCGCCCCATACATGTGCCAGTGCTGAAATGCTGCGGGCCAGGGCAACGGGGCACTTAGGCCAACCCGGTATCTGGAACATGAAGCCCAGGCCCGTGAGGATATGGTCGGGTGCCCAGCGGGTGCCGGCAAGCCCGATCGCCAGGCGTAGTTGGGACTTCGTGGACCTCTCAAGTGCTGGGGATGGGGGCACGTAGTGGGCGGGATAGGGGACCAGGGAGGCGATGCACGCGTTCCATGCCGCCGCTCTCCGTCCGGGCGAGGCGCGCGCGTCGTGGAGTGCGAGGGTTCTGGTCCGCATCTTACTCACGCGGGCGTCATGGCCCCCCGTGGTGGCGCAATGTCTGCCAGCGCGCGCGAGACCACTGCTGCGCCCAGGCATGGCCATTGCGACCTGACGCACGACGAACCGAACGGAGAGCGTGTCATGATTCGCCACCACCAGGCGTGGTTGGCGGCTGGGACAAGGGCAGTCTTGAACGCGCACGCACACCCCTCCTGCCAGATCCAAGCGTCCTGGGCGCCGCTTGGGCCGAGTTCGTGGGTGGGGATCCTCCTTGTCAACTCCAGGGTCAGGCAGATCACCACGGGTGCTCCGTTGAAATGACGTCTAATCTGCACAGGGAGGGACGCACAGGCCCGCCGCCGATTGTCCGGCGCCGATGGGAGCACGAGCCCCTGGCACGCATGCACGTCGACGCAGAGCCCAGCCACGTGCGAGGCCCACGGAAGCAGGATGGAGGTGCGTAGGGCCTGCTCGGCGGTGGTAAGAAGTGCTGCCAGGTCGTCCACGTAGATGGGGCATCTGTCCCAGGTGGCGGCAGAAGCTGCCTCGATGACAGGGTCGTGTGCCAGGTTCCATAGGAGGGGGGAGGCGGTGCCTCCCATGCCGATGGAATGAGGTAGCCGCCCCCTGGGTCTGGCGTAGGCGCCTTCGCACGTCTGCACATGTCTATGCTCGATGAGGGCCATGAGGGCGTGCCTGAGCCAGGTTGGTAGCCTCCAGCGCCGTAGTAGCTCCTCTACCCACTGGAGGGACAGTCTCTCGAACGCTTTGCTCTGGTTGGCAAATAGCGTCGCCGTGGCGGTGGACTGGGAGGCCCCCGCCACTGCTTCTCTGATGTAGGCGTCGACCAGCGGACCGTAATCTCCCAGAAAATTGTGCCGGGCAGCGCCAGGGGGGGTTAGGAGCGGGCGCCTTGCCGAGGTGGTCGGTGGCTGCAGCGATGTTGGGCCCGCACTGTCCACCTCTCTTGGCTGCTCGGTCTCCTGTAAGTTGGGGCTCGATCAGCGGCCCGAGAATGTCGGCCAGGGATGCGCCGAATAGGCGACGCATGCAGGTCGGCAGCTGCAGGGGGCGCAGGTCGTCGGGGCGCTCGGCGTCAGGGATCTTGAGTACCCACACTAGGAGGTCTACGGATGGGCCGAGGACTTGCTCTAGGCGCCTTGGGTCCACGTGGGCGATGTGCCAGGCCTGGGCCAGGAGGCAGGCGACGAATCTGGAGCCTGGGTGGTATGCTTCGTATGGTTCTCCGTCGATGCCAGGCGCGCTCCCTGCTGGATTCAATACGAGTGCGGCTAGGCGCCCCCGCTGCGGCGCGGGGAGGTCAGGCAGGTGAGTCGTGCGTCCACCCGCGAAGTAGGAGTCCGGAGGCGCGTGTAGGCTGGCGGCAAGGGCGGCACCGATTGCCAAATGCCCGCTCGGCTGTTCCACAAGACCTTTTCCATCTTGGGGGCGGTGTCGTGCCAGCGGTCGTCAGGTCCTCGCACTCCTCTTAAGGAGTGTGACTTCTTGAAGATCTCCCGACCAATCTGGTGGTGCGGGGCAAGCTGGGCCCTCTCAACACCAGCGCCGCGTTGCCGCGGAGTTAGCTGGGCTGCCCGTCGTCGGGCCTGGTCCGCGCGCCATCTGGTCTCCCACATGGCCGCCTCGCCAGGTGATAAGTCGCCGCCGTTCCATCCTGCGCTTGTCAGCCATGCTGCCAGGGGCCCGGTCGGTCTGAACGACGCGGCGCCAGCTGCGGCTCTTCGCAGCTGCACGCCCATCATGGGGACCAGGCGACGTCTGACCCAGCATTTCCACCAGGAAACGATCATGGCGCTGAGGGCGTCGCGCCCGTGCTGAGCCAGCGCGTCGATCAGGGGTGGTGCGCGGTCCGTGACGGGCGGGATGGGATCGTCGTGGCTGTCGTCTTCGTGGTTCAGGTCATGTCTATCATCGGCCGGGCGTTCGTCGGGGAGGCAGCCAGGGGGAGCAGGCCGGGTCCAGTCGCTGGGCTGCACGAGGCCCGTCAGGTCCACTTGCGGCACCTGGAACATCATTTTCTACATGTCGCAGCGTCGCCGCAGGTCGCCGCGCGCCTCCTCCGGGAGCGCTTTGCAAGCCCAAGGTGTGAGCACGTCGCATCTCTTGACTGCGGGAAGTGTGGACGGATCGGCGTAAATCAAGGCGCGATCGCACAGTGATGTTTTCCAAGCCTTTGAGATGCGGTATGATCCCACCACCGAGGCTGGACAGGCGAACGCGTCGATCTGGGACTCGCCGCTAGCACCGACGCGGGCGGGGCCGTCGGCGGAGACCCACGCGGGCGGGCCGCCTGGGGGCGTGTCTGTTCAGCATGGAGACCCATGCAGCGACGTCCTCAATCTCACCGTCTCGCGGGCTCTGCCATTCCATGTTGATGTCTCCCCCCCGCAGGCATGAACATCATTCGGTTCGGCGAGGGCGTCCGCCAGGGCGGCCAGGACGTCGGAGCGCCGGTCCGGCGGAAGATAAACCGACACCACGCGCAGCGTGTGGCCTTGCTTGCGCACGGTGGCTGAAATGGCGCACCTGGGGACCAGGGTGGGAGTCGATGAGCTCGTATTCTTGCGACGGCGACTCCGCCGGCCCATCCGCCGCCAGGCCCCAGGCAGGCCGAGGACGCTAGCACGCGTCTTGCGGGGAACGTGGTCGTCCACACTCCCACGTCGTGGTCGGACCAGTGCGTCTCCTGCAGTAGGGCAATGCACCTGTGGGCGGACGCCTTGGTGATGGTGGCCAGTTTGGCTTGGTTCTTGCGTGCTAAGGTGCCACGTAGGTATCGAACGCTCCACATGAGGAAAGAGGGCAGCATGGAGTTGCGGGCGGCGGCCAAGGCGCGGCCGAGGTCGCCAAGGCAATGCTGCCGGCATAACTCGTCCCAAGTCGCCCGCCTTGGAATGGGGTTGTTATTAAGGAGAGACCACAAGGCGCTCGGGCATCGCACGGGGGAAGATCGGCCTCCGCCAGGGCTGCTCTGAGCGAGGCGCGGTTCGCACCAGGATTGCAAAGGGCTTGTTCCTGCGTGCTTCTGCGTGCAGTCGGACGAAAATTTCCGCCAGCTGCTGCGGGTTGGGGTACGTCCGTTTAGGTACCTCACCGGTGCGGAGCCATTCCTTCAGGAGGGTGATTCGCCGGCGTTGCAGACATCGGGGGTCGAAGTGCGCGCCGACTGCGTCGTGCAGCTGTCGCCCCTCGAGTCTGAGGGCGGCCAGGCACGCCTCCAGTCCAATGGCCCGGGCGCGTTCGTGCTCGCTCGGTGGGCGTAGTCCGTGCGCCCGTCCGTGCTGCATGAGCCATCTGCCCTACACGGCCACCGTGGCCTCGCTGGCCCTCGATTCCCTTTCCTTGCCTGCGCAGACGAGTTGGAAGCCCGCCCGCACCCCTCTCCACTCTTCTCCCCATGCGTCAAGGATGTTTCGGATGCGTGTCTTGACCGCTTCCAGGCTGCCCAGGAACCAGCGTTGTTCGTGATCCAGGTCGTAGAGCAAGTGGCGCACTCCAGTCTTGTACATGCTGGGCAGAATCTCGTCTTGGTCTCCGCGCGACCGCGTCCAGGTGGGGGCAATTCCGTCGCGCCGGAAGGCCCATCTGGGCCCCCAGGGTGGGGCGATCCTCTGTGTAGCCTGTAGGTCGTCTGGTTGCGATGGAGGAATGGACGCCAGCCAGGTCCGCTGCCGTGGTCCAGGTGCCCAGTCTGTGACATTCATGACCTCAGCGTTGCCTGCGGGTAAGTTGCCTAGTGCCTCTCGCATGCTGTCGCGGTGCACCCCCTGCATTTGGTAGACGTTTTCACAGATAACGTGCACGTAGATGTCGTCACGTCGTCTGGCGGCATAATGCAAGGCAAGAGGCACAGCAAAGAAGTGCCACGACGCTCGCCCGGCCAGCCCGCCCCATCCCCCGTGGGCCCCGGCCCTAGAGAGATTGTTGCATGGGCTGCCAGTCACCACCAGCAGTAGGCAGCGTGCAGGAAGCGAGTTGATGAACAGTCCCACCAGGAGGT